CAAAGCGTAGGAACCAGCGTGTAAAAGGCTCAGCAAAGCGTAGGAACCAGCGTGTAAAAGGATCAGTAAAGCGTAGGAACCAGCGTGTGAAAGGCTCAGTAAAGCATAGGAACCAGCGTCTAAAAGGCTCAGTAAAGCGTAGGAACCAGCGTCTAAAAGGCTCAGTAAAGCGTAGGAACCAGCGTCTAAAAGGCTCAGTAAAGCGTAGGAACCAGCGTGTAAAAGGCTCAGCAAAGCGTAGGAACCAGCGTGTAAAAGGCTCAGTAAAGCATAGGAACCAGTGTCTAAAAGGCTCAGTAAAGCTGACAGAGCTAATTTAACTTATCAAGATTTTAATGTTTTTCCATATGAATGTACTGGAGGCACTGCTATTGCTTTGTGAATAACAAATCTTTAATTTTGTTTAGTGGAAAAAAAATTGTTGTTTCACAGTATAAAAACATACCAAGTAGATTAAAGATTCTATTTCAAAATATACACTGATAATCTATCAAACGAAAAACTCAATAACGAAATTACTCGTACAATGAAAGTATTAAATATCTACCAAGAAGACGTTTAAAAGTCGTTGTTAGTGATATATTTGAATCTATCAATTTTCACGGTAAGGACGTTTCGGTGTACGTCGTTTCACAGGAGGTTTTGTTTACACCTCGACGTTTTTTTTTTTTTCTTCTTTTAAATAGAGAGTAACGATACTTACGTCGACAAATGAATTCATATGAACATATATAGAATACCGGCTCTTGTCAACAACAACTAAAAAGTATTTCTATAGTTCTGGCTGTACGAATTCGCGAATACGTATTTACACTTATAAATGATGTTTATTATTTTATTAAACCTGAAAACTGAATACCACACAAAAGAGAAGAAACGAAAATACGTTTGTTCATAGTTAAGTGCAAAGCTACACAATCGGCTACCCATGATGTGCTCACCACAGTTATCGAAACCCAATTTTTACTGTTATAAGCTCGCAGACTTACCGCGTGAAAATATATAAGACGTTTTGAGCAAAACAGACATTTTAAATTCAGTCATGTTTCCAACTAACACATGAATTTATTACATAGTGTAGCATTATATTAAAACTCTTGACGAAATAGCATTAAGTCTTCAATCTGCACAGGAATACAAAAGATAAAATAAGTAGCGAACAATATAAAACCTACAAACACAATATATGAATATTGGCATTTTCTTTTTCGTATTTTA